GAACGCGGCGGAGGGAAGGGGGGGAGTGGGAGACGAAGAACTCGGGGAGGGACTTGTTGGAAGTCCCACAGTGGGCGACTGAGAAGTCTCACGGCCCCACCCGCCCTCTCTGTTTCTCCCCAGTACCTGCGTTCGGGGGCGAGAGCTGTCCGCAGACACCCAGGGGAGAGGCCAGCCCCGGCGGCTCTCTCTAGGGGCTTTCCCTCGGGCAGGGCCTCCTGTCTCGTGACGTGGGGCCCTTCTAAGCAGAACGCAGATGCTGAGTGCTCTGGAACCGTGAACGACTGGGAAAGGGCTGAGCACCCTCCAAGGGCAGCTGGCCTTGGGTGTGGGCCCTCCCGGGGTCCCGGGGTTGGAGCGGGGCTGGCCCCCTCACCCGTCTGCCTTCTCCCGGTGCCTGCAGGATCCCTTTGTGGCGTTCCACATCAACAAGGGCCTTGTGAGGAAGTACATGAACTCTCTCCTGATTGGAGAACTCTCTCCGGAGCAGCCCAGCTTTGAGCCCACCAAGAACGTGAGACTCTGTTTGCTATGGAGACACTCTTGTTAGGGAGGGAGGAGGTAGACGAAAGCCTAGGTGGATCACAGCTCGCCACAGTCAGTTGTTCTTGGGAGTCTTGAGGCGCCTGCTTCTCTTGCATATTCATGGAAGAGAGGCGCCTCAAGACTCTTGAGGCGCCTGTGGCTCGCCCAAGGTTGCCACTACTGAGGCTACCATCATCGTTATTATGAGGCTTGTTTATTGATCATTTACTATGTGGCAAGCATACACTCATAATTCTCACACATTTTCAGATGAGAAAGCACGCTCAGAGAGGTTAAGCAGCACAGCCCTGGATCATAGAGTTAGCAAGTGGCAGAGCAGAGGCTTATGTCAGCTTAATTCTTTTTTCTTTTTTTGAGTTGTAGTCTCACTCTGTCGCCCAGACTGGAGTGCAGAGGCACGCTCCTGGCCACCACAGCCTCGACCCACTGGGCTCCGGCGATCAGCCTTTCAAGTAGCTGGAACTACAGGCGCGCTACCATGCCCGGCTAATTTTTTATTTTATTGTAGAGACGAGATCTCACCAAGTTGCCTGGGTGGGTCTTGAACCTGCCGGCTCAGGCAGTCTCCTCACCTCGGCCTCCCAGAGTGCTGGGATGACAGGCTGAGCCACCAAGCCTGGCCAGTCAGCTTAATTCTTAGGCATGGTCCCATAGTGCCTCCTCCTGTCACCCTCATCGTGGCGTCTTTGTCTCGGGGCTGTGGACCACCCGCAGCTTCCTCCCAGCGGGAAGTCCTTGAGCCTGAGCGCGTGGGGGGGGGCGCCTGTCCTCAGAAGTGTTGGTCTGCAACTGGGAAGCATGACAGTCCTGTCCGCTCCACAGAAAGAGCTGACCGATGAGTTCCGGGAGCTGCGGGCCACCGTGGAGCAGATGGGGCTCATGAAGGCCAACCATGTCTTCTTCCTGCTCTACCTGCTGCACATCCTGCTGCTGGATGTTGCTGCCTGGCTCACCCTTTGGGTCTTTGGGACATCCTTCGTGCCGTTCGTCCTCTGCGCGGTGTTGCTCAGCACAGTTCAGGTGGGAGCCTTTGGCTTGTCAAGTGCACAGCCGTCCTCAGCATCCCTGGGGGAAATCTGGAGATGGTGGGGGTGAGTGCAGGCAGAGAACACGCATCCCCTGTGGCCCTCATCTGCTCGGCAGCCACATGCCCGGCTTAATTGCTCTCCGTGCCTCTCCAGCTGCTTCTCCCTGGGCGTCCTTCTTCCTATGGAAGTTGTTCTCTGGAACTTCAAGTTCAGGTTCTGCCATAGCCCAAGTGTGCCAAGAACCCAGATCCTGCTTTCTCAACAAAGCCTGGCTCCTCTCCACCACCGACATCACTCGATGTGCTAATAAGGGTTGAGCCCTGACTCCTGGCTGTCGGAGCCCATCTGGCAAGCCTTCTGCTCAGCGCTGGGTCCTTTCTGCATTCCGGATGTCAGTCCCTCATAAGTCACTAACTTCAGTGCTGGGGGACGAATAACGGACAGAATGTGGGGGTGATGATTTGCCCCAACTCACATTTGAGCCAGAATTCAGCCCCGAGTCTCCTGAGCCTCATGGCCCTGAGTGAACGAAGGAAGAGGGAGGGGCTGGGGGAGGCACTGGGGCAATGAGGGGGATGCCGGACCGGTGGGCTGCTCTCAGCGTGGGCTCTTCTCCCCCAGGCCCAGGCTGGCTGGCTGCAGCACGACTTTGGGCACCTGTCAGTCTTCAGCACCTCAAGGTGGAACCACATGCTCCACCACTTTGTGATTGGCCACCTCAAGGTCAGTGGGGTGGGAGGGGGGTCTCTGGAGCTCCAGGCAGCACAGCGCTGCCAAGGGGAAGGGGCCCTCTGTCTTCATACTCACGTCTCCCCTTTCCTGTAGGGGGCACCAGCCAGTTGGTGGAACCACATGCACTTCCAACACCACGCCAAGCCCAACTGCTTCCGCAAAGACCCAGACATCAACATGCATCCCTTCTTCTTTGCCCTGGGGAAGATCCTCTCCGTGGAGGTGAGCGGGGGTGTCAGCAAAAAGGTTTTGGCGGGGGAGGCGCCAGCACAGAGGGCTTTGTGGGGATGCCCACAGTGTTGTCGGTGTGAGTCAGACACTGGGGACTGGGCTGGCTGGGGCCTTTGCCATTTGGAAGTCCTGGGAGGCAACAGGCAGAGCCCAGGACCGTCACCGTCCTCCCTAGTGAGTTCAGTCAGCAAATAGTTACGATGTAGAAGACCCCACATGCTGTGCAGGATTCAGAGAATGCCCAGGAAAGGACGACAGGGTGAGGCCCCGCTCACCTGTGAAGCAATGGCGGCGCCTCCAGGGGTGCTTTCTCGACACTCTTGCCCGGGCAGGCATTTCACCTGAGCTTTGTGTTCCTCTCACACCTGGAGAGCCTACTTGTCACAATCGCTCCATCCAAGCTTGGACTGTCCTCCTGTTCTTTGACACCCGGTGCCTGGAACATTCATTCACCAAGTACTTTTTCCCACCCTCCTGGTCCCAGCCTGACTTCCAGGGTGGCCCGCGTTGGGTTTGAGTTGTCATCTGAGGATGTGAGCAGAGTCCTAATGTAGCTGCAGGAGGGAGAATGCCTGCGGGGGAGGGGGGAGATCTGGTGCACTCCTAGTGGGCATTAGGCAATGGAAGGTTCTGCAGGGCCACAGAATTCTTTGAAAAGTTCACTTAACACCCTTTGTCTCAGGCTCCAGGCTGAGTCAGAGTTCTGCCAGGTCCCCTCCCCGACTCTGACATTTCAGCTTGCCAGGAATTGAACTTTCGTTAAAGGCCATTTCA